TGTATGTTAAAAAAGGCCCTGGTTGGAATTTATATTCAATGATTCATTAATGATCATAATATATGATTCATTCAACATTATATTGATCATTCAACGTTATATTATATTCATTTGATCGATTGATTCATAATATATTATTCAACGTTACAGTTGAATGATTTATTGAGATACAAAACAAATACACACCTGTGCTACATATATAACGTTCAAAATAAATATATATGAGATTTCGATGGATGGAATTTGGCATAAACTAAGCCGCCCAATGAAAAGATCCTTATATATAATAATAGTATATAAATTCACAGCTTGACAGTGAAATGGATGTGTGTGCATGGTCAAAAATATGGAAATTTCGATTGGTTCTGTCAATCTGTAAACGCTGTCAAAGGAAAACTAACAGTGAAGCGAATTTGACAATAACTTACATGTATCCTGGTATATATGAAATCTTCTTATGAGGCGAGCAGCTAGAAAGAAAGAAGTTTTTACCTACAATCCATTTAAATTTGCGTAAGAGCAATATGTGGCGCCTTTATCCATGTTCGAATATACAGTATATTTTACAATACCATGCATGCAGCGTTAGCCATATCAGCAGAGCTCTGACGAGTTACGGCTTGTGGGGTGTACAACACCATGCACCGGTTATATGAGTCGAGTAATTTCATGAGTAATTTCATGATCAGGTAAATTTGTACATGTATAGGTGTGGAAGTTCAAAGTCAATGCAGGCTAAGAATGCAAAATCTTAGTCGTATATTTCCGGGCTTTCTGAGGATTAAAGATTCAGGCAATTCGAGCACTCTGCCCCCCCCCCCTTCCACCAATCCTCCTGCAACCAACGACAAAGGTGTGGCTTCGCAACGTCTCCGCATGTCTGTCAGGGAACCGTCTTTGGAACATGCAACACAAGTTTTCGCAAAGTCATTTAATAGTTGAGTATGTTTATAAACATACTCAACTATTAATTTTTCTGTGTACGCGTGAATTTGTGTTACAGTATATACGAATAGAACGAAATAGACGATTTAAAAAAAAACTATTAATAGCAAGACCAGAGGACATATTACGTAACGCGTGCACGCTCAAACGAATGAGTATATAATATATTGACAATTATCTGAAACTATACTATTTTTACGTTCCTGAAACAGCAGATGCACTTAATAACTAAGTAATTTTAGTTAGGTATGAAAACGATGTTAGGTCTTGAACACTTTTCATTGCATATACGTGATATAGAAAAAATGCCTATGTAATGATTTTTCTGCAGAGCACGAACTTGTTTCGGCGTCAAAAACTGCGTAGCTATTTGCAAGTTGCAGTACAAATGTCTCAATGTTTGGAAAAGCTTCTTTTGATATAATCAAGCATGGTCCCAAAGATGTATGCACTTACAAACGAACCGGTCCTGATATATGGTGTCCATCTCTTGTTTGAACATAATCCCAAGAAAACGGCCTGCTTCCAAATTGCTGTAAAGAAAAACAGTCACTCTAATTTAAAAATATGTGCGTGCAGCGAGTTTACTTAATGTACATACATGTAAAGGTGCTGAATTACTATTAATAATAACAATTATGCAAGTGTATTGGCGTTTTCTAATGGTGCAAGGATACGAGGACGTACGTTCTCTTTTTAGGAGCAAGTGCAGTACGCGATTTTGCATAGAGGTGCCAAAATGCTGAAACCTCAGATTTTCAATGTTTACCAAATCAGTTTACCAAACCAAAAAATCCTCCTGTGTATTTTCAGCGTTGGTCTGGAGGAAAATTAATCGCAAAAACGGTATAAACTCATTCTTCATTTACTAGCCTAAACTATAGATAACTTCCTCAGAAAATGTTGAAAACTTGAAAAATAGTCATGATATATATGTACATCATGGCATGTGATCTAGTCTTGAAGCTGTCGGAAAAAGGTTGATATTAAGTAATTAATAACTATTTAGTAAAAGTTAATTTAGAGATGAGGCGACTACCTTATATGGATTTGATTGACAGGCATGCTAGATAAAATGAATGTCGTTATTGGGAATATATGTAATGAGATTGAGTTCAACCTCGTTCCCAGGCTCTTTGATTGACTTGCGATTTACAAAAACAAAATTTATAACGTGCAATTTTCTCTTATTGGGGGATCGAACAAAAATCTACTATCTTATTTTGGTCTGTACCTGCCAATTTTCGTTTCTGGGCTGATAACGTTTTGATTCATACCGATAGGACACTGTGTCCGCATTTAACTCTTTGCTCGTTTTGGGAGGAACGGGTGAACGTATTAACCTGTTACACCAGTCAACGCCTTGATATAGTCTGCAAGAATAAAAACGCACACAGGAAAACGTTAGTATTTGAGGAAGCCGTCTCCAGGGCAGTTGCTATGGGGAGTTGGGGGTGTTGGAGGTGTGGTACCCCCTGAAAACATCTCGTGAGAAAAATAATGGATTTTCAGGCGACTTTTACATTTTCGTCGAATCAAATTTGATCTACCTCAGTGTATGAGGTTATTTATTTATCAAAATCAATCGATTAAATGTGTATTTATGGATGGCGATGGTTCCTTTCTGGAGTTAACCGTGCCCTCAAAAAGTGTAGGTATCTTAACATATGTACAATTGAATTAATTTTCTAATTATAGGTTTTCCTTATTAAACTTGCAACTCTTGATTGAAATAAATAAAGTTTAGACTGTTTTCGCGGAAATTGAACTTCATGGCGTGTAATCTTGGTCTGAAGTCAAACGTATGATTTGATTTTGTATCCAGTACGCGCTTAATTTCAGACAAAGCGCTCTTCATCTGCCATTGTGTATGTAATTGTTGTACCTTATCTGTTGGATAATACTTGGCAAGGCATGCAAGTTAATCTGATAGCTCACTATGCCTTTTAAAAAGGAGGCCGAACCCTTCAGAACAATATAACTGCAAGTCTTTTCTAGAACTGCACATTGTATCTAAAAATATGCCTGAATTTTGGATAACGAGATCAGAGCCACATACATGCATGTGAACATCAAGGTCCACTGACTATACACCGTCACTATAGTTTCCTGTAAATGCATACTTACTTTTGAGTGGAGGTTGTGTAAAATGCTTTATTTGCAAGATAATCTCTAAACCGAATGTCATCTCTGGTAGCTGGATTGTCATCCTAATTAAAAAATGGACAAACTATAATTCAGAAATGGCGCTGATACCCTAATACACTTTTTCCACGTGCCCGCGGTTCTTGTTGGAAAAACGTATGTTGCGGTTGCCTACATACTAGGTATAGTAGGTTTCGTTTGTAACCTTTTTTTATGAACGTTCATGCATGGCAATTATATTCTATGCCAATGACATCCATGCAGTATACATGGTAGAGACGTATCCCTTACAGTTCTTGTTCGCGTTCATTTAAACAAATTTATCAGGTATGGTTTCTTTAGAAATCTCTACAATTTATTTCCATTTTCGTCACGAATTGGGGTCCGAAAACTTTGCAAAGTTCCAACGATTCAATCTTTCTAAAGTTCCCACTCGGTTCAATAATAGTTGAAGGATCTTGAAGATGGAAATAATCGAGTGGAAATTTTTATTTCCACTCGACAATTTCCTTCTACAAGACCCTTATATTAATTCATGTTATAATTATAGCATGCATGATTGTTTTACGATATGTATATTACACAGGTGCCTACAGGTTCAGGCACGCATGATTGTGTTGAGCAATATCCCAGGCAGTTTCTAATTCCCTTTCACGAGTTTTAAGCTTAAAATTTTACAGGTCTAGCAGTAAGCCTTAAACGTTTCTGCATATACGGTAAAACTAATAGAATTGTTCCGAGAATTGCAACGAGTGGGGTATTCCGAAGACACACTCATACTATATGCAGAACTGACTATAATAAGATTATGATGATCTCTTGAAAAAATCGCGAGTGTGCAGGCAGAGAAACTGTTGAAATTGCATGCGAAATCATGCAGCTATAACATGTCATATAGTATATATTTATGTAATAATAATTATTAATACAAGGGGAAAGACAATCCTTTTATTAAAGTATATATTGTAACATTGCGTATTTGGTATTTATATTTTTATTTTTTTCCTGGTTCCTGAATAATAAACCGGTGAAACAGTGTGAATTTCAGTTATTTCACTATTTTCTGCGCCAAATAATTTATCTGTATACCTTAAGCTTTATATCGTTTGCATGAGCTAATTGAACTTCCTGCCCGATGACGGAATGCCCATGCAGCCATGTATATATATAAGCCCAATCAGCCAGAATGCAGAAATTCATAAAATAGGGTCGATTAATGAACGAAACAAAAATGATGGTGAGAGCACAATTACTCATATGCAGTGTCAGTGATTATGTAATAAGCAATTCAAATTAGCAATACCTCTCGCTGTTGGCTGGTCAAACAAGACAAATCCTGTGTCTGAGAAGTCATATTCTTATCATCTTGCAAACCTATAACAAAGGTTCTACTAAGTACTATTTGTTAAGGACAAAATGTACGTGTTCCAAATAATATAATATTTACAAGGCTAACTACATATAGTTTACACATTAATACCTGCTGTTGATTCATAACACGCTTGATCAACTTCGCCAAAATTTACTGGGAGTCTATTACCAACTTTATTATCAGGACTACCACTGCGAGAGTAGGCTCGCTTGTATTCGGAAAGTGGTGTACTGGTACGCGAACTTTTTCCGTAGCAATGCGAATGCTGGCTGCCCGAATAATCCACATTATTTTGGCACTGTTCTCGTTCTAATAGCCGAGTCGAACAATCATACCGAAACGCCGGGTCAACGTAAATCGTTCCGTGATTTGGTTCATCATTGAAGGTTACAGGCATTGTAAATAATTGACTAAGTGTTGTTGTTAAACCAGTTCATATCTTTTAGTTAACAAATTATGTTCCAGTTTGCATACATTCCAATATTTACATTATGTCAGCCATATCGTGTAAAATGTAAACATATAAAATTGTTGCCAGGGGCAGCGAGTTCATTGGTTGCTAAGTGATTTATATGCCTATATGTACTGTATTGTCTTTCATGCATCGATCAGCAATGAAATATTTCAGAGTTTAGTTTTCGTGTTAATTAATGCAGCTAGTTTTTATATAATTCTGCTATATATAGCTGGTTGAGCGAATTCATATTAATTAAGGAAGAAAAACTGTCAAACATTTCGATATGATATGATAAGACGAAGTATGAAGAGCGGGGTACGGAATACTATTAGATAGATATACTGTAGATAGATACAGACTTTATTTAAAAGAGGGTGGCACTTAATATAGCACGAAGTACTAATGAACTTGTGGCCCTCATAAAATTTACAAAAATTAGGGAGTATATATATCTGTTGTCTATTTACAACATTTATATATATCTACGATTGTAAATCAATATTCAAACTTTCAAGTTTACTTAAAAAGGTTATATTACATGAGCTGACTCGTCCGCAGTCGTCTCTAATGGTCTTGGAAATAAAGCTCGAGAAATTGCTTGAAAATTAAAACAAAAATTTAAAACAAATGTAAAAGTCAAAGCAATACCAAGAGCGAGTGAGATTTGAGATATTGCGAGGCATATTGCGAGACACACGCAAATGCGAGCGCGTGAAAACGTCCTTCTTTTCGTTTATAATAGAATGAAAAGCCTTTTTCTACGGAAGCCGTGAAGGGACTTCAGACTTCAGACTTCAGACTTCAGACTTCAAACATTGGTTCCGAGCTTCGCTAATAGCCAACATTGCTTTAAATTTGCGAAGCTGGCTAATATTTAAGGCACATATTCAGTCAACGCTATTCAAACTAAAGTCAAAAATGGTCAGAATGATTTAGATTGCAAATGCAGACTGTTGGAATGTGTCAGTGAGTTCTGAAAGTTCTTTGTAGGTTTAAAGGCAGAACGATAAAACATATAATACTATTGTTTGTAGAAACACCACGTAAATTTATTACTGCTGTAAATTTATTAACTTTATTCTGTAAATTTATCAAGTTAAGTATAACACGCGCTCAAAACTAATTATGCGTAATATATAATATACCACTTGAGGTTATGACTAAATTCAAACTTTTTATTTACCGAAACGTTTCTCAATCGGCAAACAAACTTAAAAGGTATGTTTGGTGCTTTATCTGTAAAATAATGCTAAATTGAAGAGATTTTAGACTACGCCAAAGAGAAAATTATGTCTGAAGTTCAGGGGCCGGTTGTATAAAAAAGTGATTAAAGTTGACTATAGTTAGTGGAAATGTCATCCAATAAGGAGCGCGTATTTGATAGTTAATCACTATTTAACTACAAAATAGTGATTAAAAAGTGATTAAGAGTTTTGTACAACCGGCCCCAGTAAGTTTTGCATATATTGCTCGGCTTAAATATGGCGTCAATTTTAAAGCATCATTGATAATTGTATTTTAATTGACAATTTTTAACTATGATTTTATGTTCCTCAACCGGCAGATGCATTTAAAAAGGTAGCTAACTGTATAAACTAAAGAATAAAGCAAAAACAAAGTGATTCTAACAGGAGGAACGCAAAAGCAATGTTGGCTATTAGCGAAGCTCGGAACCAATGTTTGACAATCAGACTTCAGACTTCGGACTTTGGACTTCAGACTTCAGACTTCAAACATTGGTTCCGAGCTTCGCTAATAGCCAACATTGCTTTTGCGTTCCTCCTCTTAGAATCACTTTATTTTTGCTTTATTCTTTAGTTTATACAGTTAGCTACCTTTTTAAATGCATCTGCCGGTTGAGGAACATAAAATCATAGTTAAAAATTGTCAATTAAAATACAATTATCAATGATGCTTTAAAATTAACGCCATATTTAAGCCGAGCAATATATGCAAAACTTGCTGAACTTCAGACATAATTTTCTCTTTGGCGTAGTCTAAAATCTCTTTAATTTAGCATTATTTTACAGATAAAGTACTAAACATACTTTTTAAGTTTGTTTGCCGATTGAGAAACGTTTCGAAAAATAAAAATTTTGAATTTAGTCATAACCTCAAGTGGTATATTATACGCATTAGTTTTGAGCGCGTGTTACACTTAACTTCATAAATTTACAGAATAAAGTTAATAAATTTACTGTAGTAATAAATTACTGTGGTGTTTCTACAAACAATAGTATTATATGTTTTATCGTTCTGCCTTTAAACCTGCAAAGAACTGTCAGAACTCACTGACACATTCCAACAGTCTGCATTTACCATCTAAATCATTCTGACCATTTTTAACTTTAGTTTGAACAGCTTTGACTGAATAAGTGCCTCAAATATTAGCCAGCTTCGCAGAAGCAATGTTGGCTATATTAGCGAAGCTCGGAACCAATGTTTGAAGTCTGAAGTCTGAAGTCCCTTCACGGCTTCCGTATTTTTCTCATGCCCAGTAAAAATTTCAAATTTAAGAATACTATGGACTTGTTGATAATAG